GTCTCCCTCACCAGGCTGTGAGCTTGGAGAGCCAGGGCTGAAGCTGATTCAGCTCCAGGTCTTAACCCCTTGCACAAGGCTGGCACAGTGTGGACACTTGGCACTTCTGCCTGGATGGACAGTAATGAAAACTCTCCTTTATCAAGAGCTTCCTAATGTGCCAGGCTCTGTGCTGAGCCCCTGATACGTACCATCTCATTTGTCCCTTAGGATAATCCTGTAAGCTGGGTACTAATGTTCTTCCCATTTTACAGATGAGGAAATTGAGGCCCAGAGGTAAGTGCCTTAGGGCCCTAGTATGTGAATAAGTAGTAGAGCCAAGATCTACCCTTGGGCCCTGCTGACTCCAATCAACTCCTCTGAGCCTCAGTTTCCTCATGTATAAGATGGGATGATAGTTGTTCTTCCCACCTCTCAGGTTTGCTATGTGTATTAATATATGTAAATGTAAGAGATATCAAGAATGGGATTTGTGTCCCCCTTATGAACTGGGAAATACTTTGTCAAGGATAAAAGCACCAATTTTTCTGGGGTGAAACTGAGGAGTAGCTGAGATTCAAATGGCCCAATGCCCCAATTCACCCCTCTCCCTAGGGTTTGTCTGGAGCCTGGGGCCAATTGAGCAGCCTCCCCTCTTTCCTGGGCCCATTGCCAGCTCCTCCATCCCTTCCTCCCACCCACTGCCACTGGAAGACAATGGTGGGCAGGCCTGGCCTTTGTGAGAGGGGTCAGGCCAGTTAATCTTGGGCTAGGTGAGGAGGGGCACATAAGGGGACCAGGGGAAGGGTGTGGGGGCTGCATGTGGAGGGACAGACAACAGAGGGTTGGTAAGAGGACATTGGAGGCAGGGCGCCTGAGAAGTAAAAGCCTGAAACAGGCTTTGGGGAGCGTTTCCTCTGAACATAGATTTGAGCTCCTATTAAACTTGCCAAAAATTTGTGTTAGCTAATGGATTCTTAATTCTGTCTAAAATGAGAGAGGGAAAATTATGCCATTCATCTTGTATTGGTTTGAAATTACATCTGACACCTAATCGATCATACTGTGGAACATTAACTCTTTGGAAGAGACCCAACTTTTTCTCTCTCCCTCGCTTTCCAGGGCTCTGAAGCTACCCCCACCCCTGATTCCTTCTTTTGTATTTCATTAACTAAGCAAAGCTCTGGCTATCTCTGGGGGTGAGGGGGAATGAATTGGGGAAAGGGTCCATTTGAGTCAAGGGAAGTAACCAGGTCCCCCAATCCTTTGCCCACAAGAGCCCCCACTTCCAACCTTCAAGTGACCTCCTCTTGTCCGCTTTTTCTCATGCATTCTGAAATGTGGAAATACAGAATGGGAGGCATTGGGGTGTGGGGTGACCTCAGAGCCACCTTGGGGGCACCAGGGAGAAGCGAGAAGCCAGGCAAAGCTGAGCTGGCACCTGGAGCTGGGGCAGGGGCCGTGGTTGTCCGCTTTTTCTCATGCATTCTGAAATGTGGAAATGCAGAATGGGAGGCATTGGGGTGTGGGGTGACCTCAGAGCCACCTTGGGGGCACTAGGGAGAAGCGAGAAGCCAGGCAAAGCTGAGCTGGCACCTGGAGCTGGGGCAGGGGCCGTGGCAGGGAGCTCACCTGCGACTTGCCTGGCAGATGGGTGAGGAGGAGGAGGGCAGATGACAATAGATTTGCCTCTGGGGATCCTGATGAGCTCTGACTGAAAACCCCAAACCCAGACCTGCTTTTCTAGGAGGATGACTTTCTGGCAGCAGGGAGAACCCACTGGAGGCTGACAGACCTGGGCTGGGATCCTGGCTTCAGTCCTGACAAGCTGTGTGACCTTGGGCAAGTTATATAACGACTCTGAGTCTCAGTTTCCTTCTCTGTCAGAGTAGAATAACAACACCATGGCTGAGGTGAGGACTGGATGACATCATTCAGGCAAAACTGGGACACAGCCCATTGCCTGGCACACAGCGGGTGCCCAATAAAGGTGACAAGTTAGAATCCAAATATCCACTCCTTGTTTCTGCTGCTTCCCCATTCCCCCTCACCCCCCATTTTCTATCCCATCTCCAATTCCTTGGCCCCTCCCTTAGAGCAGGTTAATGGCCAAGAAGCCACAAGATCAGGCCAGGCCATTAAGGCCAGCCAATGTTTCATCCTAAAAGGACAATAGGAGGAGGCTTGGGCCCCCGCGTCTCTGCAGGATCTCTGGCCCTCTTCTTTTCTGGAGCTCCTCTGTCTCCTCCAAAAGTTGGGGGGGTTGTCTCTTGCATGGAGAACTCTCTCAGCAACCCTTGCCCTGACTGGAAGATGTGGTTTCTTGAGGAAGGAGAGCTCTAGGAGGTGAGGCCATGAGGGGGCACTCCGGCTGAGAGAGAGCCATTTGCTTTTACTTGGGCACCTTTGACCTCAGCCTGTGGATTCCAAAGGGCTCCTGTCCCCAGTTCGGGCATCCCATAATTTTAGCAAAGAGGGGCGAATTGGGCTGGGAGTGGGGCTTTGTCCCTCAAGAGCAAGGAAGAGCAAAAGGAAACAGGTGGGGTGAAAGAGGGGAGAGACATCACCCCTACCCTATTTCCCAGACGGCACCGTGGTCTCTTCCTCAGGTTGGCTTTGGACACTGTGGGAAGTGAAGGTTCCAGGGCCCTCCAGCTCCTCATAAAGGGGGTCATCACGGAAGAGGCCACGCAGCTGTCTTCTGGTGCAGAACAGCAAGGGGGAGCTGAGGTATCTCTTTCATGGAAATGTGGGCAGCCTCTGGACATTCTCAGTGAAGGCTTCACTCTTAAAAAGCACCCGCAAATACCCAAATGAATGAATGTGCAGATGAAGGGCCCAGGTTGATTTAAGCCACCAGTTAAAGTCATACAAGGAATCATGAGCTATTAGGTCTCTGTCTCAAGTGCAGGAAAGAGCGGACTAGAATTCCCTGACTGTATTCTTGGGCCTTGTGGAGGAGCCCCAGTTTAGGGACTAAGAATGATGGGAAAATCTCATCCTGTACCCTTACTTTGCAGAGGAGGAACCTGGGACTCAAAAAGGGAGGTAAAATAAGCCAGGGCCACAGGGTGAGGCAGGAAAGCCAAGTACGTGGGCTTCTGTCTCTCAGTCCAGTGCTCTTCTCCACCTGCACCATGAATCTGAAGGGACCTTTTCTAGGCTACTTGTTCAGTCCCAGCTGAGACTACAAGGGGCTGGAGTTTGGGGAGGCAGTGAGGAGAGCTGCTAGGAGAGGCTTACCCTGAGGAGAGAGAAGAGGGGAGGTAGCTCGGAAGGTTTCTTAACTCCCTCTCCCACCCCAACACACATACAAACACACAACAGCATGAATGTTATTTCCAAATGTCCCTTCTCTGGGGAGCTTGCCGTTTCCCAGGAGACGCCTAGTGGAGATGCCCCTTCCTGCCAGCTTCCCTGGCAGCCACTAGGTGGCCGTGGCTTCCTCTTCTGCTTGGAGATGCCACAGTGAGGGTCCCACGTGGTTTTTATTAATAGGAAGTAGAGCTGAGGGCTGCAGGCACTGAGGATGGGGCAGGCCAGGTGAGGGTGGGTTAGCAACCAGGCCTATGGGTAGAATGAGGCAGCAGAACACAAGGCCACATCGACCAAAGATCTTAGGCAGCTTGGCAGACACAGATACATGTGCTGACCTGATTCTGGTTACCAGAGAAAAAAATGCTCCCTGGCATCTTTTATCCCAAACTGAAAATGTTTTTATTGTGTTTTCCCCTTGAATATAAAAGTAATGCATGATTGTTGTAAAAATGTGTAATTTTCAGTCCGCTCAGTTTGTTAGATGGCAGTCTTGTAACACGAAAGTCACAGGTTTGGATTCCCATACCACCCAGTCCCCACCCCCGGCCCCCCCAAAAGTAATTCCAACAAAAGGGAATGAACAAAAGCCCCAGTATCAAATTTTAGTATCTGTGTTTTCTTATAGGAAAGTAATTAACCTCTGGCTGAAGAATCTTTGGCAAAAGGAGAGGGGAAGCATCATGACACTGTGGAATGTTCTAGAGTCTTGGCAGTCCCCCTGCAGCAAACACCTTTGTATTGGAGTAGCTGCTGTGTGTGTCTCTCTGTTGCTCCCCAGAAGATGGGCGGTTTCAGAGTGGTGGGCTTCCCACCCTGTCTGTGTTCATCCCCACACTCTTACCTGTTGGGTGCACCATGCTGCCCCGGTGTGGTCATTCAGTAAACATGGGTTGGAAGAATAAATTAATGAACTCACAGAAGAGGAAACAGCGGAGCCGGCGCGCAAAAGCCAGACGCAGCTCTGCGTAGGCCCCTGGCAACGACGCGCGCCGCGCCGTGGCAACCGCGACGCCCGAGAGAAATCTTAAAGCTGCAGCGCCTCCTTTCCCCGCTGCTGCAGTCGCCGCCAGGACCCCGAGAGAAAGGGTCGCGCCTAGAACGGTTGGTGGTGGGAGTCGAGCTCTATGACTCTCGGAATTTGGGGGTCCGACTCACACCCTCACCCCTTTAGCAAATGTATATTGAGTGTTCGCGCCTAAGCACGGGCTAGACATGGGAGGGGAATGGGCGGCGATTTAAAAATGAACGAGATCCTGCCAAGAGTTCACAGTCTAGCGCGCAAGGCAGACCATACTGGCTGAGGTGAGCAGAGCCCTGTGTTAAACAGGATAAAGGGGCTTTGGCTGGAGGGCCGAGGGGCTGTTACAAAATATTCCTGCAGCACCTGCCTTGCTCCAGGCCTTCGGTTGGACGCTTCTTTCCTGGGTTGTGTTATTATTTTTCCCACAGCCCTGTGAGATAGGTATTATCAACATTATCGATCCCTTTAAAAAATATATATATATAAAGATGACCGGTGAGGGGATCTTAACCCTTGACTTGGTGTTGTCAGCACCACGCTCTCCCAAGTGAGCAAACCGGCCATCCCTATATAGGGATCTGAACCCGTGGCCTTGGTGTTATCAGCACCACACTCTCCCAAGTGAGCCATGGGCTGGCCCTCGATCCCATTTTAAAGATGAAGAATTAGAGGCCCAGAGAGGTGAAGGGACTTAGCCAAAAATCTCGTTTTATTTTCTGGAGAATCTAGGACTGGGTCATAGGTTCTAAGACTCTGACCAGCCTTCTTTATGCATCACATCTGGAAGGTTAGACTGAGTGAGAACTTCCCAATATAAATTATGTAAGAAGTGAGAAAGGAGAAAAGCTAGCTGAAGGAAAAGATGGATACTTCACCCTTCTATTACTGACCACTACCCTGACCCTTTCTGCCCTTGTTCTTATGAGCAGGCCTGGATGTGGGCAGGGGACTAAATGAGGTGACCTCCAGACGTCCCTCTGGTTATGTGATTTGATAGCTCCTGCCTGAAGTCCAGGCATTGCACCACTTTTCTGGGCAGTAGTAGTTGGCAAGGGGCTGCAAACTGGGGGGATTCCAGAGTTCTGAAACAAGGGGTCAGGGTTGGTGGAGGAGGATTGGAAGGGTAGCGAGGGAGCTTTGGCAGAAGAAACCTCGAGGGCTGGCCCCGTGGCGCACTGCTACAGTGTGCCGCTTGGGAGCACGGCGGCGCTCCCACCGAGGGTTTGGATCCCACATACAGACGGGTTCCCGCTCACTGGCTGAGCGAGGTGCGGCCGCAACACCGAGGGTTGCGATCCTGTTGCCGGTCCCGGTACGGGCGCGACACTGAGGGTTGCGATCTGTTGCTGGACACGAAAAAAGACAAAAAGGAAAAAAAAAAAAAAAAAGAAGAAGAAACCTTGAGTCAGTGTCACTAGGAAGGCGGGGACTCATCTTCCCTTCTCTTGTCCACCTATCTCTTTCTGCACACCCATTCAGGCAAGAAATCTGTGTCAGGGCCTGGGGTAGGCTCAGAGGCTGTTGGTGAGGCAAAAAGCATGCGGGCTTTGGAGCCAAGCTCATCCGGTTTCATATCCCAGCATTGTCATTTACCATCTATGTGACCTTAGGCAGGTGACTTAACCTCCCTGAGCCAGTTTCCTCATCTGTAGAATGGAGGCATTAATATCTACCTTTCGGGGTTATTGCGAGACAAATGGGATGAGAAAAATGTATGTACAGTGTTTGGCACCTGATACTTAAAAAATGGTAAATTTAAAAATGTCTTTGCTTATTTTGGTAGTCCGATAATGTCTGCCAAAGATATGTCCACGTCCTAATCCCCAGAACCTGTGATTGTTACGTTATCTGGAAAAAGGGGTCTCTGCAGATATGATTAAGATAAGAATCCTGAGATGAGGAGATTATTCTGGATCATCTGGGTGAGCCCTAAATGTCACCACAAGTGTCCTTATAAGGCAGAAGCAAATAAAATCGGGGGGGAGGTAGATTATACACACAGAAGAGTAGAAAGCAATGTGAAGATGGAGGCAGAAATTGGAGTGACAGGGCCACAAGCAATGGAATGCTAGCAGCCACTAGAAGCTGAAAAAGGAACAGATTCTCCCTGAGAGCCTCCAGAAAGAGCATAGTCCTGCTAACACTTTGATTTTGGCCTGGTGAAACTGATGTTGAACCTCTGGCCTCCAGAAATGTGAAAGAATAAATTTCTGTTGTTTTAAGTCTCCAAGGTGTGGCAATTTTTTACAGCAGACTAGGGAAACTAATATGCCTATACTGGAGATTCAGTCTTCAGCAAAACCCAGGAGTTCACTATCTAGCAGGAATAGAGGGAAGAAAACAGATAGTGCATGGGGGCACCTAGAAAGGAGATACCTTGCCATAACTGGGGAGTGGAGGGGTAAGGTGGGTAAGGCTGTTGGAGTTGGAGAAGGAGTTAGCCAAGTGAGAGGCTAAAGCAGGAAGGGCATTCCAGGCAGAGGAAACAGTGAGTAAAGGCATGGAGTGGGAGGGAACAAACACTGCCTTCAGAAAACTGCCTAAGTTTGGGACGGCAGGTGCGTGGGGGTATGGGGAATGGCATGACAGAACTGCTGAGATGGGCAGCAGCAGCAAGAGAGCCAAGGGACTTGGCTTACTCCAGAATGGAATCAACCCCTCCACCCTGTACTGGCACTGGGCCCTACATCAGAGAACCCCAGACTGTCAGTACTGGAAAGAAGCCTTAAGAGATCATCCAGTACAGTCTTGTCACTTCACACATAGGGAAACTGAGGCTCACAGAAAGTGAGCCCACCCAGAGAATAAGCTAGAACTAGATGGACACACTCTGGCCTCTCTTCTGAGCCTGGGTGTCCCATGTCTTGGGTCTCAAAGATGCTGCCTGGAGGTCCCTCTGAAATCCACTTCCCAAAAGCACCAGCCCTGTGGTCTCTAAACAAAGAGGGTGTTATTTGCATATTATTTGCATGTTGCTAATTAGATGAGAGAGGCAGATTGATTCAGCCCCTCCCCTTCATGTCCCCCTGTCCTATCTTACTCACATCAAGTTGTTCTTTCTTATACATCTCTTGACCTCAGCAACTTCTCCCAGAATTCCAGCCCAGGCCTCATCCCTCAAATTCCCTTATCCAGCCCCAGATCAACCCCTACTGTAAACTATAACTACTACTATAAACTATAACTACTATAAACTACTAAACTATATTGTTTAGTCCTGCCTGGAAAAAATTCCTGGTTAGTTTTTAGTGTAAAAAACGGATCCGGATGGTGGATCTTGGAGGTTACAATTGAAGGGGAGGTGATTGGCTTTCCAGCTTAAAGTTTTCTCTGCAAATGGAGAAAAGTGAGCTCTGTCTCACTGTAGCCCAGGGGCCATCTGAATGGGGCTATGGGAGTGGGGGAGGAGAGTGTTCCTTGGGGATCTTATGGGCAGGTGCCAGCTGCATGCTCCAGGCCTGCCCCAAGCCTCTTGGCTGGCAGCCACACCAGCCCCCGGAGGAGCCGGCTCCTTCTCTTAGGGAGGGGGAATGCTGAGGAAGGTCTGGAAGCATCACTTGGTCTGGCAGCTTAATATGGGTAAGGTTGAAGTCACCATGTGAGTTACTGTGGATCCTTCAATGGGGACAGCACATCTAGATTTTCAGGGCTGCCATCAACCCAGAAAATTGTAAGGCACTGCTAATCTAAGCATGATTCCTCCTTGAGGATAGGCCCTCAATAAGTGCTTTCAGACAATGAGAGGCCACTGGTCTCCTGGAGACAGTTAAGGAGAAGAGATCACAGAGAGGTACAGATTCTGCCTCTTTTGCCTCCCAATTGCCCCTTCTTCCCTCTGAAACCAAGGCTGTGCCCAGCACCTCTCCCAAGTGAGATGTTTGAGCCTGTCATTTGGTGGTCACCAGAGAAGGCACCACACTGTGGCCAAGACAGTGTACAGGATGACCTCAGGTGCCCCCTGCTTCCATTCCGGCAGAGGAGCTGCAGGGCTCCATCACCATGGCTGACTCAAGGTAGCTGCCAGGAGCTGGGAATTAGGATCCATGGAAAAACCTGGGGCAAAGTTCAGGATAGCAACTTGCAGAAGTCAGCTTGTTCTGGGTTAGAACAATGGCCTGCATATGGAAAGAAAGACCACCCGGCCAAGTGTAATTCCTCTCCATACATAGGTGATGTGTGAGCTATGTGTGCATGTGCTACAGGGGCCTCAGCAAACATCCAACCTGCATGCACGGCTGCGTGCATACATTCCAGTGTGCACAAGTGTATGTTGTGTGTGAATGTCTTCATGGAATTCCACCTTCCTTCTTCTCTGCAGAGCAGTCCTTCTCTTCTTGTTTCCTTGGTCCTGAGTGGGGAATCCCAGCTCCTTACTGGTCTATGTGACCCCATCTTGCACCAATTCCTCTGCCCTGGTAGCTCCCTCTTCCCCTAGTGTGTCCCATGCCACTACTTCATCTAGTGTCCAAATCTAATGGAGAGGCAGAAGGAACTTGAGATGATGCTGTGGGTGTGGGAGGAGGAAGGGTGGATCGGATACTGTTCAATTTTGCCCAGGTCCCCTTGGAGCACTGCTGCTCATTTAAAATTCCAATTTAAAGCTGAGCGGCTCTTTAAATTTCCACATTAGCATGCTGCCCTGATGCCAGGCCAAGATGTTGGGATGAATTTGGCAGGAACGCCTCCAACAGCGGCAAGCAGCAGCGTTTTCCAGCAGTAAAACAACGCATGAATAAAAGAAGGCCGCTTGGCAACAGCAGCAGCCCAGGTAGCTGGGTGAGCCCAGGAGGGGCTCTCATATGTGGGGGTTCAGAGGCATGAAGCCCTGTGCAAGGGCGTGTGTGGGTGTAGGCCTCTGTGGCTGTCTCAGCCCTCATGGAGTGAGGGCCCAACCAAGATCGGGTTTTCTCCCTTGTACCTGTTTTCTCTCCACCCCCTTGGGTTATCTTCTTGGAAGGGACAGATGTTGCCTTTGATGAGGACACAAGGACTTGGCCTGCAGCCTGAGTTGTCCTGCTTTATTAGGGCCTAGAGAACAGGTGAGGTCAGAGAGAGCAACACTCCCCAGAATGGTTTCCAGATCTATGACCCTAGATACCTGGGCGCTGAGGGGCAGTGTCAGGATAAGGGAATTGACTGAGTGAGAGGCTGCTGTGTGAGGACTGGATATTGGTGCTAAGCTGGATCAGAGAGGCACTGGACTGGGAAGCTGGCAACTGTGTGCTTGTACAAGGTTAGGAATGGAGAGTGGCCAGGAAAATCAAGGAGCTACCAGGCCTGGCCTAACTTTAACACCCCACAGATTTGGGAATATTGTTTGAGGTCAGATGGCAAAGGCAGCAAAGGAGTCAGATAAAGCCCTGGGCTGGAGGCTTGACACTCCCTAGAGGTCATTTTGACCACTGCCTGCTTCCCAGGGTCTAGAGAGTAGAGCCCCAAAGGACTTGTTGTTCCTGGGTCCTGTGTTCCTCTTCTCCAATCACCTGGCTGAGACTCATCACCCAGCTCCCCAGACATTTCAAGGAGCAAGCAGCCTGCCCTGCTTCTGGTAAACTCTCTCTCCTACTTGGTTTAACCATCTCCTTTCCTGATGCCCAGGAGGAGGACAGAGGTAAACAGAGGGGTGGCAGCAGATGGTCTCTGCAGTCACAGCTAAAACAGAAAAGGAAAGTTTTTCTCCAGAGCACCCATCTTTGATGGAATTCCCATCCCCTCCAGCTCACATGAGTGATTTCAGGCCCCCATATGGGGAGAAATTGTTGGGACTTTGAATTCTATCAATCCCTGGAGAAGCTGAGAGCAGACAGGCAGGGCCAGGCTCTAGCTGAGCAGGGACGCCATATCCTGGAACTAGGGCTGGTCCTGTTCTGATGGATTTTTCCAGGGAGAACCTCCCAGATACCCTATTCTCTAGTCCACACATTGAGGTGGGTCAGCTGTGGGGTGAGGGAGTGGCTAAGAAGTTGAGTTTAGACCAGAGAGATATCCCTCTGTCATTTTATTCATTCAGTCAGCAAACATTTACCAAACAGCTGCTTTATGCTAGGTACTGTGCTGGGCACTGGGAGCACACTGGTGAACACAGGCACATCCACGGTGGTCACTGCCCCTATGGAACTTTTCATCCAATGAAACTAGGATCATTATTCAAATGATTGCACAAATAAGTATGAAATAACTGTGCTAAGTGCATTGAAAGAAAGATAAATAGTGCCACGAAAGTACTATAATTGGGGGACTTGACTGAGTCTAAGGAGTCGAGGATGAGTTTGCAAAGTAGACAGAGAAAGAACAGCCAGAGTGGTGGAAGAACTGGCGGTGACATCACAGAACCAAAGGAGGAGGTGGTCAACTGTGCTGAGATGCTGGGAGCTCATGAGACATCTATTTACCCTGACCCCTCACCCGCTAGTTGTGAGTACAGGTATGGAAAGGCTCTGGCATTGTGCCTGGCTCACAGTTGGTGCTCTGTAATGTTAGCTCCCTTTCCCCATCCCCATGCTGAGCCTCCCTCCAGGGATGCCAGATTTCTAGAACAAAGAAGCTGCCCAAGCTTAGCCTTGTCTGTCAACTCAGGCCTCCAAACCCCAGCCATCTAGTCCTCAGTGAAAAGCACTGGGCCTCTCCCTTCCTCTCCAATTAGTCCCATCACATGTAGCCCTACTATCCCCTAACCTACTTTCTCCTTTCACAGATCTTCCAGGAAGAGGGGCTGGGGTCTGGGTCTCAGAGAAAGATGCCATTCTGGCTCTGCTTCTGGGGCTGAGCCTGAGAAGAAAAGAGAGTTGGAATCCTCAGCAGCTCCCAGTGCTGCTCGGGGTGAATCTGAGTGTCTTAGGTGGGGAGAAGGAGTAGTGAGGAGAAGGGGAGGGGGACTGCCCACCCAAGGCGGCGTAGAGCCCAGAGCCTTTTCCATCGCAGACACCCCATCTGTCTCCCACAGAAGGCTTGGGTTGGAAGAGGTGTGGAAAAGGGGGGTATGGTGGGTGAAACTGTACAATCTGTGAACTAGCATGATGGCAGTGAAGATGCTGACCGGGGAAAGGGATGGAGGGTTAGGGTGGGGTGTCAGCAGGTCTGCTGTCTTGGCTGCTGAGGTCTAGAGGTCAAAAGTTGGGACTGGAGGTGAGGAGAATGATAGGGACACTGTGGCATAACTCTCCCTAGACAAGCTTTGTGTTTAATTTTGATTTATTAGCTCTCTGCCCTACCCACCACAGAGCAAAGAGTCATACCCCTCCTGCCAACAAACTAATAGAAGACCAGCAGTGGAGAGAGCTGTGGGAAGGGCCTTTTCTAAGCCCAGGGCTGGGCTGGATTCATGACATCTCCCTCTCCAAGCAATCAGAACTTTTTCAGACCTTAAGATAGTATTTTTTAGTTAAATTTGACAATTTACAGAGTGTTTTCTTTCACACATTCTTTTAGGTGATCCTGCTAAAGTCTAGTGAGGTAAATATATTATTGTTCTTGGTCTACAGATGATGCAACAAAGGGTTTAAAAGATTAAATGAATGATAGCCAGGGATCACAGGAAAGTAGAGAGAGGGAAGCCCAAATCCAGGTCTCCCAGTGCTGCATACAGGCACTAGGCTACCTTAGGCCTTCCTTGCTCCTCATTTTTTGGTGATATTGTACATCCCCCACTGCCAGACGAGGTGTGGGGTTTTCCAGTTTAGAGCTCAGAAGAACTCCTAACTAGTGACTAAAAATCTTTAGGATACCCAAACCTTGGGGGCTAGACATCAGCACATCCCCCTCTTTGGACACCAACATCCAGACACCAGGAAACCGGTGATCCAATGGGCCTCTTACATACAGAAATATAAGAGGGACCTAGACTGGAAATGGTCAGGAAGCGGGGGCAGGGAAGGGTGTGGGAGTGGAACATGCCAGCCTGGGAAGCAGCTGTTAGGGTCCACTCCAGGTTCTGGAGCTGGCCCTTAGGAATCCCTGTGGACACCTTCTTCCCACATTCCAAGTTCTGAATACTTCTTTTTCTCTCTACCTATACTTAAGAGAATAAGATGCCACAGCTTCCCTTGATCCCCTACCTACTCCAGTCTTTTCTCCTATTCTTCTTTGTTCAGAAGTTCTTTCTTGGGTGTAACCTTCTTTCTTCAGGCTGCAGCTTAATCCTTCTAAGAGCCCTCTAAAGCAGGGGGTGCCAAGGGAACCCAAGACAGGGCTCCAGTTATTAAATATAGACAGGGAAGGGCAACTGAAGATAGACAGATATTATATCTCTCAGTCCCTGTGAGTTATTAGGAAGAAGCACTAGTGGTTGCTAAGCAACAGGTTTCCATAGAGGACAAAGCACCAGAGGAAAAGTCTCTTTTGACAGAATATTGGGGTGGGCGGATAGGGAAGGTGGGGGTCAAAGGGCTCTGGACTGTCAGGCCGGCTGTGGGGAATCTTTGGTTTGTCCTCTAAGACCAGCCCTTCCCCCTCCCCCCTTAACAAACTCCGCCTTTACAACCTTCAGGATTGGTAGAAGAAGGAAGGCCTCAGGCACTCCTCCCTTCCTGCCAGGAAGAAGGAACCTGGTTTCCATAGCAACTCAAACATTCCTGGCCTTGCTTTGCTTATGGCTTCTAAGTAACCCTCTTTTGGAGCATCCGCTATCACAGACCCCTTTCTTTGACTCTCAACATCTGATTTGATGGAGAAGGCCGTCAGGGGCGGGGGTGCCACAAAGCTGGTCTCACTTGGCCCTAAACAGACCTATTAAGAGTAATGGGGAGAGTGACTTTAAAGGGATGGGGTTTCTAGGTGTCCTCCGACCTCTGCACCTCCTAAGGGGCTGCAAAACGCAGGGCCAAATGATGGCATCAGATGCAAACTGGGCCCAGGCTTGCTTCCTAAAGGGCGAGTAGAGACTGGGGTTGGAGGCCAAGAGAGAATGAGAAAACAGGGTCTTTTGTGCTCCTTGGCAACCGAGGCCCCCATTCTCCTCGACCTCAAGTCCACCGTCGTCAAGACCCGGAGAATGGAGATATAGAACATTAACGTATGTCAAGTATAAGTGAGTGGCACCGAGGGGCATAATCTGTTTTTCTAATATGACCACAAGCAGAGTGTTAGAAGAATTAGGCCGACAGCTGCTGGTTTCTCCCCCCTTTTCTCCCCCCTCGCTCTCCCTCTCCCTTCCTC